CCAGGAGTGCTGTTAATCAATAACATGGTCTCCAGGAGTGCTGTTACATCAATAACATGATCTCCAGGAGTGCTGTTACATCAATAACATGATCTCCAGGAGTGTTGTTACAACAATAACATGATCTCCAGGAGTATTACATCAATAACATGACCTCCAGGAGTGCTGTTACATCAATAACATGATCTCCAGGAGTGTTGATACAACAATAACATGATCTCCAGGAGTATTACATCAATAACATGATCTCCAGGAGTGCTGTTATATCAATAACATGGTCTCCAGGAGTGCTGTTACATCAATAACATGGTCCCCCCAGGAGTGCTGTTTACATCAATAACCCATGGTCTCCAGGAGTGCTGTTACATCAATAACATGATCTCCAGGAGTGCTGTTACATCAATAACATGATCTCCAGGAGTGCTGTTACATCAATAACATGATCTCCAGGAGTATTGTTACATCAATAACATGGTCTCCAGGAGTGCTGTTACATCAATAACATGATCTCCAGGAGTGCTGTTACATCAATAACATGGTCTCCAGGAGTGCTGTTACATCAATAACATGGTCTCCAGGAGTGCTGTTACATCAATAACATGGTCTCCAGGAGTGCTGTTACATCAATAACATGATCTCCAGGAGTGCTGTTACATCAATAACATGATCTCCAGGAGTGTTGTTACAACAATAACATGATCTCCAGGAGTGCTGTTACATCAATAACATGGTCTCCAGGAGTGCTGTTACATCAATAACATGATCTCCAGGAGTGCTGTTAAAATCAATAACATGATCTCCAGGAGTGTTGTTACAACAATAACATGATCTCCAGGAGTGCTGTTACATCAATAACATGGTCTCCAGGAGTGCTGTTACATCAATAACATGATCTCCAGTAGTGCTGTTACATCAATAACATGATCTCCAGGAGTGTTGTTACATCAATAACATGATCTCCAGGAGTGCTATTACATCAATAACATGATCTCCAGGAGTTTTGTTACATCAATAACATGATCTCCAGGAGTGCTGTTACATCAATAACATGATCTCCAGGAGTGTTGTTACAACAATAACATGATCTCCAGGAGTGCTGTTACATCAATAACATGGTCTCCAGGAGTGCTGTTACATCAATAACATGATCTCCAGGAGTGCTGTTACATCAATAACATGATCTCCAGGAGTGTTGTTACAACAATAACATGATCTCCAGGAGTGCTGTTACATCAATAACATGGTCTCCAGGAGTGCTGTTACATCAATAACATGGTCTCCAGGAGTGCTGTTACATCAATAACATGGTCTCCAGGAGTGCTGTTACATCAATAACATGATCTCCAGGAGTGCTGTTACATCAATAACATGGTCTCCAGGAGTGCTGTTACATCAATAACATGGTCTCCAGGAGTGCTGTTACATCAATAACATGGTCTCCAGGAGTGCTGTTACATCAATAACATGATCTCCAGGAGTGCTGTTACATCAATAACATGGTCTCCAGGAGTGCTGTTACATCAATAGCATGATCTCCAGGAGTGCTGTTACATCAATAACATGATCTCCAGGAGTGCTGTTACATCAATAACATGATCTCCAGGAGTGCTGTTACATCAATAACATGGTCTCCAGGAGTGCTGTTACATCAATAACATGACCTCCAGGAGTGCTGTTACATCAATAACATGATCTCCAGGAGTGCTGTTACATCAATAACATGATCTCCAGGAGTGTTGGTACAACAATAACATGATCTCCAGGAGTGCTGTTACATCAATAACATGATCTCCAGGAGTATTGTTACAACAATAACATGATCTCCAGGAGTTTACCTGGAGTTTACCTGGAGAGAGTTCCGGGGGTCAACGCCCCCGCGGCCCCGTCTGAGACCAGGCTGAGACCAGGCTGTTACATCAATAACATGACCTCCAGGAGTGCTGTTACATTAATAACATGATCTCCAGGAGTGTTGTTACATCAATAACATGACCTCCAGGAGTGCTGTTACATCAATAACATGACCTCCAGGAGTGTTGTTACATCAATAAGATGATCTCCAGGAGTGTTGTTACATCAATAACATGATCTCCAGGAGTGTTGTTACATCAATAACATGATCTCCAGGAGTGTTGTTACAATAATAACATGACCTCCAGGAGTATTACATCAGTAACATGATCTCCAGGAGTGCTGTTACAACAATAACATGATCTCCAGGAGTATAACATCAATAACATGACCTCCAGGAGTGGTTACATCAATAACATGATCTCCAGGAGTGTTGTTACAACAATAACATGACCTCCAGGAGTATTACATCAGTAACATGATCTCCAGGAGTGTTGTTACAACAATAACATGATCTCCAGGAGTATAACATCAATAACATGACCTCCAGGAGTGCTGTTACATCAATAACATGATCTCCAGGAGTGTTGTTACAACAATAACATGACCTCCAGGAGTATTACATCAGTAACATGATCTCCAGGAGTGCTGTTACATCAATAACATGATCTCCAGGAGTGCTGTTACATCAATAACATGATCTCCAGGAGTGCTGTTACATCAATAACATGATCTCCAGACACATTATTATTGGTGTTACCCTCCAGAAAGAAGTGCCCAACCCGTGATGTTTATATAGCGTTGGCTCCTGTCAGGTGATAGTCGGAATTCTTACTATAACCTTTCTTGAAGGTTCTCGCTCATAGCTTGATAATACCTCCTCTTAGTGACCTCAAACTTGCAAGTCAGGCGTATTTTACTTAGATGATCTTTCAGACTATTATTGGAGTTTGTAGGTGGTAGTTTCTTAACCTTTATTTTAAAACTGTGATACATGTTTTTTTGTGCAATAACATGAGAATATATCTTTTGAACGGTTTGAAACTTTAAACAATGGTATATCTGACCCACTGGAATATACAGAAAACTTTATGTTGTATAGGTTTCAATATGACAGTTTACTAACATAATTATGAGGAATTATTTATATTCAACTCGAGAATGCCTATTCATATCGGCTTCAAACTTTCAGTACTAGTGTATCTTGCTCAAAGAAAGGTCTTGGACTGCGTAAGTCCTATTTCCAAATTTTAATAAACCAACTGTGATATTGGCTTCTGGGCGATAACTAAATAATATCGATATTGATAGGCTTCATAATTTTAATGTTGGTGTATTAGAGAAATGTTAGGATTGGTTATAGGCTCCGTAGGTCATAATTTACTTAGAAAATGTTCTTCTTTCATAATTTTATGAAAAATTTGGGATACAAGGCCGTTCTAGAGCACTAGGAAATTTGTGATTCAAGACCGTTCTATAACACTAGGAAATTTGTGATTCAAGACCGTTCTAGAGCACTAGGAAATTTGTGATTCAAGACCGTTCTAGAGCACTAGGAAATTTGTGATTCAAGACCGTTCTAGAGCACTAGGAAATTTGTGATTCAAGACCGTTCTAGAGCACTAGGAAATTTGTGATTCAAGACCGTTCTAGAGCACTAGGAAATTTGTGATTCAAGACCGTTCTAGAGCACTAGGAAATTTGTGATTCAAGACCGTTCTAGAGCACTAGGAAATTTGTGATTCAAGACCGTTCTAGAGCACTAGGAAATTTGTGATTCAAGACCGTTCTAGAGCACTAGGAAATTTGTGATTCAAGACCGTTCTAGAGCACTAGGAAATTTGTGATTCAAGACCGTTCTAGAGCACTAGGAAATTTGTGATTCAAGACCGTTCTAGAGCACTAGGAAATTTGTGATTCAAGACCGTTCTAGAGCACTAGGAAATTTGTGATTCAAGACCGTTCTAGAGCACTAGGAAATTTGTGATTCAAGACCGTTCTAGAGCACTAGGAAATTTGTGATTCAAGACCGTTCTAGAGCACTAGGAAATTTGGTTATCAGCTGAAAAGTCACAGGATTATACCGTTTTAAATATACACCATATATATATATATATATATATATATTATGCAGTTCCCTTCAGCATTTTAAATAAAATAATTTTGATCTAAAACTTTAAGAAAATATAAAATTATACTGAATTAAAACATTTAACTATTTTTCTTTACAAAACTATGCAATATTCTTGAGTGATTTAACAGGAAAGTTTATTTTCCCTGTGGCTCCGACAATCTTAATATTTTTTCTAGACTGAGCTCTAGCTCTTGGCTCTCTCGAGGATGTTAATGAGTTTCTCCTGTGCCTCCTACGTATGTTGATCCATTGTGCTTGGTCAGCTGGAGGATGCTAAGTTATGTGCTTCTTTACAGAGATGATTACTTACTCAGCCTCTTGAGTGCGTTGAGACACGGTTCTGCGAATAATATTATTATAATCATGCAGAAGCGCTAAACCCGTTGGATTATACAGCGCATGTGGGCGGGGGGGGAGATGGAAGGTATTCAAGCTCAATTCAGGGAACCAGAGCAGAGATCCAATTCCCTAGATCAAGAACCTCTCACCAGCGTCAAGGAACCTCCCTGGAGGGGTCGGTTCTCTGACACTCTGGATACACCTCGGCTCGGCTTAGTTTGTTACCTTATTAAAAAATAATGCACATAGAAAGGTCGCTTATAACACACGACGTTAGAAAGGAATGGTGCACTATAAGCGCTATTTTTATTTTCCCATTTTGTCTAAAGTGTTGCAAGTGCAGTATTTACATTGAATGATAAGTGCAACTTATGCACGAGAAAGATTTTTTCATTTCCAAGGAAAAACCGAATTTCAAGCACCGATAACGCACTACAGTAATAAAAATTCTGCCACTGGCAGGTCCAGGAGCCGCAGGTCATCTTTGGTGACCTGTGCTCGCCGAAGGTGACCCCAGGTCATTAAAAATGACCCCAGATCATCCAAATTGGGCCCAGATCATCCAAAGTGACCCCAACCATTTATAGTTATTTTTTTAACATTTAGTATGAACTAATAATGTCTTGTAAAAAAAATATGAGGCTAATTATTATTAATAATATCAAATACATCTTACTTGGAGCTGGAGTGTCAGAGATAGTTACTGTACCCCGCGTCACTCTCACAGGTCCTTTAGTGTCATCATTCACCGTCACGTCAGAGATGTCACGGTAGACCTTGAGAGTCGCAGCGTCAGTGGGTACATCTTTAAGTATTACATAATGTGTGTTCTTCCCGTAATCAGACGACCCAAGAATATCCATCTGCGTATTGTCAACCATGATGTTGTCACCTTCCTTCACCACAGGCTCACACACCAGCCGATACATTCCATCACTAAACTTACTGACGCTCGTGCACGTTGCCAAGTCTTGATAATCTGAAAAAAAGCACAATAACTAATACCCAGGAAAGAAACATCTATTATAAAACTTTTTGAAAGTTTTCGTTACAAGTTTTAGTTACAAGTTTTAGTTACAAGTTTTAGTTACAAGTTTTAGTTACAAGTTTTAGTTGAATATACAGACAGGAAAGAGCTCAGTTTCCTATTTATTTATTTTTATGTGATCGTTCGACATAAAAATCAACTTTGTTTTTGTGAGTATTATACTCATGATATTCTCACAGCCTCAAAGAATTCCCGGTCATGGTTATAGAAGTAATATTAATATACATTCATGGGGAAGTGTTGAACCCGTAAGGGTCATACAGCATCTAAGAGGTAACCAGGTTTGATCAAAGTACTGGGAGGGTAACTCCAGTTTCATGGATCAAGAACCCTTCACCAGCATCAAGTCAGGTTCCTGACCTTGAAGGGGGGGGGGGGGAATAGAGCTATGCTCATTGTCTCTGTTTTTTTTATTTATTTTAACAAATATATTTTAGGTTTCCTTTATTTTTGTCACAGGGAATCTTGGTGCAGAAAATATCTTCTACTCGATTGCTAAATTTTTGGCCCACCCGGTGGGTCTCGTCTGTTTACACTAGCTAGCCCTGTCCACTTGCAGCTACACCTACAACTGCTGCGTCTCTCCACTGGCTCCACTATAAAAATCTTCGTCCACGTGTCTCTGTTAAAATTCATAAAGCGACTGGTGAGCAAAACGTAATAAACCTTCCCAGATGTTACCCATGTGTCTTATTCATCAGTTTGTTGCTATTGTGAAAATTGGATAAATGACAATAACAATAACAGAGGTTAAAGTTGTGCACATGATGTATTCGTATTTTTGACATGTCTAATACTTGTCGAGAAAATAAAATTTCTACCACGACAGTTATATCCATTTCCCCTCTTTTTTAAAAACTACTTAACTTTCGAGTATCAAAATACATGAATGTAATGTCTTGTTTTTTGCTTGTTACTGTGTGAGACTTTTGTTCTTTGTTAAACAAAATATAATTAATATAACAAGATATTATGGCATAATGGAAACCTTAACTGAGATAAAATTATGCTTGGAGACCCAACTTCTTCAAGGCTGACAGTACATAGTAATTATGTGTACATAAAATTGGGAGAGTAAATGTTTATGATTTCAGGTGTGAAACATCACTATGGTTGTCTAACTATTGTCCTTTATTATAAGTTCTGGTGAAAAAGAAAATGAAGATACTGAACAAACACGTTCCTGCTCCAGTAGCCAATCAAGAGCCATTCTGGATTGAATAATAAAAAAAAAAAATGCCGGAGTGACCGAAATGATGAACTGTTAAATTAGAGGAAAATCTATTACCTTCCATGATGAAGGCGATAGAACCTTGCCCGAGTAGCGAACTACTGTCTGTTGATGAATACAACTGAAGTTCGAGGACGATGTTATCACCCACAGTGAGGGCTGGGTCGGCGAAGGTCACGCAATTATCTGTGGATATTGTCGCTGCCACATTTATCTCATTAGCCGTAGAGTCACTGACGATTATAATGATAGTGATCAGGGCGTGGTCAACAGTGGGTGAGGTTGGTATGGCTTCATAACATATATCAACGTTATTTACTTGTTTCTTTAGAACTATTTCGTTTATCACAATACTTTCTGAAAAGAAATGTATGCAAATGAGAATATATACGAGTATACCAAACACATTCCCTGACACACACACAAACACACAATATATACTTATATATATATATACATATATATATATATATATATATATATATATATATATATATATATATATATATATATATATATATATATATATATATGTATATATGTAGATGAATGGTTCAGAGAACCGACATGTTGATAAATTAGACACATGTGCAACTCTTGGGTATCTTTATTGAGGAAACGTTTCGCCACACAGTGGCTTCATCAGTCCATACGTAGGAGAAACTTGAAGAACAGGAGGAGAATGAGGTAATCAGTCCCTCAACCTTGAGTCGATGTGATCAGTCCATAAATCTTGAATAGAATACGGCATACTATTCAAGATTGATGGACTGATCACATCGACTCAAGGTTGAGGGACTGATTACCTCATTCTCCTCCTGTTCTTCAAGATTCTCCTTTGTATGGACTGATGAAGCCACTGTGTGGCGAAACGTTTCCTCAATAAAGATACCCAAGAGCTGCACATGTGTCTAATTTATCAACATACACACACACACACACACATATATATATATATATATATATATATATATATATATATATATATATATATATATATATATGGGTAAAAATGTTATGGAGGGAGTAGTAGGTAAATTTGGGATGCCAGGGGTAAATGTAAATGGGAAGCCTTTAATTGAGCTATATGTAGAAAGAAATTTGGTAATAAGTAATACATATTTTATGAAAAAGAGGATAAATAAATATACAAGGTATGATATAGCACGTAATGAAAGTAGTTTGTTAGATTATGTATTGGTGGATAAAAGGTTGATGGGTAGGCTCCAGGATGTACATGTTTATAGAGGGGCAACTGATATATCGGATCATTATTTAGTTGTAGCTACAGTTAGAGTAAGAGTAGATGGGAAAAGAGGAAGGTGGCAACAACAAGTAAGAGGGAGGTGAAAGTGTATAAACTAAGGGAGGAGGAAGTTCGGGCGAGATATAAGCGACTATTGGCAGAAAGGTGGGCTAGTGCAAAGGTGAGTAGTGGGGGGGTTGAAGAGGGTTGGAATAGTTTTAAAAATGCAGTATTAGAATGTGGGGCAGAAGTTTGTGGTTATAGGAGGGTGGGGGCAGGAGGAAAGAGGAATGATTGGTGGAATGATGAAGTAAAGGGTGTGATAAAAGAGAAAAAGGTAGCTTACGAGAGGTTTTTACAAAGCAGAAGTGTTATAAGAAGAGTAGAGTATATGGAGAGTAAAAGAAAGGTGAAGAGAGTGGTGAGAGAGTGCAAAAGGAGAGCAGATGAAAGAGTGGGAGAGGCACTGTCAAGAAATTTTAATGAAAATAAGAAAAATTTTGGAGTGAGTTAAACAAGTTAAGAAAGCCTAGGGAAAGTATGGATTTGTCCATTAAAAACAGAGTAGGGGAGTTAGTAGATGGGGAGAGGGAGGTATTAGGTAGATGGCGAGAATATTTTTGAGGAACTTTTAAATGTTGAGGAAGAAAGGGAGGCGGTAATTTCATGCACTGGCCAGGGAGGTATACCATCTTTTAGGAGTGAAGAAGAGCAGAATGTAAGTGTGGTGGAGGTACGTGAGGCATTACGTAGAATGAAAGGGGGTAAAGCAGCTGGAACTGATGGGATCATGACAGAAATGTTAAAAGCAGGGGGGGATATAGTGTTGGAGTGGTTGGTACTTTTGTTTAATAAATGTATGAAAGAGGGGAAGGTACCTAGGGATTGGCGGAGAGCATGTATAGTCCCTTTATATAAAGGGAAAGGGACAAAAGAGATTGTAAAAATTATAGAGGAATAAGTTTACTGAGTATACCAGGAAAAGTATACGGTAGAGTTATAATTGAAAGAATTAGAGGTAAGACAGAATGTAGAATTGCGGATGAGCAAGGAGGTTTCAGAGTGGGTAGGGGATGTGTAGATCAAGTGTTTACATTGAAGCATATATGTGAACAGTATTTAGATAAAGGTAGGGAAGTTTTTATTGCATTTATGGATTTAGAAAAGGCATATGATAGAGTGGATAGAGGAGCAATGTGGCAGATGTTGCAAGTTTATGGAATAGGTGGCAAGTTACTAAATGCTGTAAAGAGCTTTTATGAGGATAGTGAGGCTCAGGTTAGGGTGTGTAGAAGAGTAAAAGTAGGTCTTAGACAGGGATGTGTAATGTCACCATGGTTGTTTAATATATTTATAGATGGGGTTGTAAAAGAAGTAAATGCTAGGGTGTTCGGGAGAGGGGTGGGATTAAATTATGGGGAATCAAATTCAAAATGGGATTTGACACAGTTACTTTTTGCTGATGATACTGTGCTTATGGGAGATTCTAAAGAAAAATTGCAAAGGTTAGTGGATGAGTTTGAGAATGTGTGTAAAGGTAGAAAGTTGAAAGTGAACATAGAAAAGAGTAAGGTGATGAGGGTATCAAATGATTTAGATAAAGAAAAATTGGATATCAAATTGGGGAGGAGGAGTATGGAAGAAGTGATGTTTATATATATATATATATATATATATATATATATATATATATATATATATATATATATATATATATATATATATATATATATATATATATATATATATATATATAACCTTTAGACCTGGAGTATCTAAAAATATAACTAAATATTTACCTTCACAAATAACTAAATTAATATTGTAGTTACTGCTAAAAACAAGACAAAATATACACTTTATACTTCGAAATCTGAACCTTGAACCTTGATCACTTTAGCTCAGTTAATTCACAGTGATCGGCCTTTATACACCTTAGTTTTTCTTTTTTCCTTGAGGTTAAAAGATCAAAAGATCAAGTTAACAGCGGCAGTGAACCTTTTCTCAAGGTCGGAAGGTCAAATGATCAAGGTCAACCAGCCAGCGTGGACAGATTCTGCTCTCTAGGTCGTTAGATCACCATGGATTAAGCCTATTTATGTCACCTAAGACTGACCTTATTATCTAGGTCACCAGGTTACCAAGGGTTGACCCTAAAAGCTAGGTAAAAAGGATTGACCCATATGTAGTCACTAGGTTACCAAGTATTGACCCGAGTATCTAGATCACCAGGTCACCAAAGGTTGACCATTATCTAGGTCACCACAGATTGACTCCATTATCTAGGTAACCACAGATTGACCCCAATATCTAGGTCATCACGGACTGATACTATCATTAAGACCACTACTCCAACGTAAACTAACGTGTAAAGCTTCCGTTTAGGTCAAACCTGGTGAACTCGACTTGTAAAACAGATTGCTTTGTCAAAGAAGCAGATCGTATATTTATTAACTTAGTTGGGTAAGCCATATTGTATTGAACAATTTTTGGTAAGGTTAAGTTTGGTTGCAGAGATGTTTTGGTGCAATATTGAAAACATATGCATATCATCTTTATCTTAGCAGATATAGATTTTAATTCATAAGAGAGAGAAAATTTGTGGAGCACCTATAAAAGAGAAGGTTCATTTATGACAACCAGCCATTAGTCTAATGGCTATAATCATAACCATGATTTTTAAAGAGGTGGACGGATAAGCCAGCGGAAGTCCTCGGTCAGATGACCAAGAGCTTCAGCTGCGGGTCATATGACTAAGGCCTACATCAGGCTACACTTTTCCTGCTTCATACCATCTTGCACTTCCACTGCTGCTCCCACTTGCATCAACTGTAAGAGTGACCACCATACTCTTGCAGTCAAATGTCCAGTGCGTAAGGATATCCTCTCTAAGAAACTGAAGGAAGAAACTAAGAAGTCATCTGGAACCTCTCCTTCATACGCTGCAATTGCAAAGATTCAATCAACAACATCGAAGATTCTACAAGCCACTCAACAGTCGTCTCCACCACCTCTCACTACCCAACCTCCACCTGAAGATATCTCTACCAAATTCTATTACTGCATGATGTTTGCTCACATGCAAAAATGCTGCAAAACCTGGCTCTTTCAACACGACTATTAATGAACTTCTTGCACTTAACAACATGTCATGGTCGATTGGCTCGTCAAACCACGACCAACCAAGATCCTACCCAACCTTCGCCATCCACACCACCTTCCTCAACTCCACCACCGCCTTCTCCAAGAGGAAGAGGAAGAGAGGAAGAGAGGAGGACATTCTGCTGTTGACTCTCGCCCTGGCAGGTCACAGCAGCTCTCCTTACTTGCACAGTATCCCTACGATCCCCGTTGGGGAGGGGAACCTCTACCATCTCCACGATGTCTCATCGTGTGAGAATTAAGCCCAAGTCTGCTGTCGTCGATGACGCCACGAAGCTTGAGCTTGCAGCTTCTCTCAACACTTGTCTGCACGCAAAGTTCTCCAAGATCACGTCACTGAAAGAAGCTTTCATCGTCACTTTTCTCGATGATACTGAAGCTGACAAGGTGCTTACACCTACTGCCATGAAGACCTTAGAAGACCGCGGCTTTACCATCTCTACGTCACCATACATGCTTGCAAAACGTTCAGTGTTTATGAAACGTCTTGACAAGCTGATCACGAACATGTCCATCCAGGAAATTACGACATCTCTTGAAGACCTCAACACCTGGGCCAAGATTGACACTGTAGTGAAGATCCCCAACGCTTCCTCAATGCTCAAGGTCACATTCCTGGACGTTACCATGGCGACCAGAGCACTGTCTGATGGCCTGGCCATCTCTTACTACTACATCAACCCTCGACAGATTGAACCTGAACGCTTCACGTACATAACACCTTGCTGGACATGTTACTCGTACAGTCACTCTACTGCCGACTGCCACGTGAAGAATAAGATATGTTCCACCTGTGGGTCTGCAGGACACGATTTTCGTTCTTGCACTTCCACTGCTGCTCCCACTTGCATCAACTGTAAGAGTGACCACCATACTCTTGCATCCAAGTGTCCAGTGCGAAAGGATATCCTTTCTAAGAAACTAAAGGAAGAAACAAAGAAGTCATCTGGAACCTCTCCTACATACGCTGCAATTGCCAAGATTCAGTCAACAACATCCAAGATTCTACAAGCCACTCAACAGTCGTCTCCACCATCTCTCACTACCCAACCTCCACCTGATGATATTTCTACCAAATTCTATTACTGCATGATGTTTGCCCACATGCAAAATGCTGCAAAACCTGGCTCTTTCAACACGACTATTAATGAACTTCTTGCACTCAACAACATGCCATCATTTAACTTCCCTGCAAGTCCACCATCAGCTGAAATTTTGAAAATAATCCCGAAGATCGTCAGTTTTGAAGCGCCAGATGACTTGAAGGAATTAATAATTGACAATGACGACGCATCCTTTTTTGAATCCTCCAATCAACGTTCACCTGATAACATCCAAGTCAGCACTACGTCTCCTATTCGTCGATCGCCTCCTATTCGTCGATTGGCCCTTCGTGGCGGCGTACTTCCTTCACCTCCACTCACCACTACTCATATGGACCAATCAGAAGCCACGATTCTACCACAGTTTTCTACACACTCTCTAGCGGAGACACCAACATTGAAAAAACCTTCATTGCTGCAACCACCAACAAAAACCTCTCCAGTCATCACTCGACGTATTAATACAGAAGACCAACATCGAGATCAATACCTGCACTGGAATGATATAACTTTTTATACGACTCCTGACCAAGAACCCACCATGAATGTCGACACTTTGTACGAGAAATTACACGACAGAACAGTCAAGTTTACAAATCGTAAAGGATCCCACTGCTCCTTCACTACACTCCAGATGACCCTTGACCAGTTACAAGCCGACCCAGCATTTCGACCCAAGATTACAAGACTACTCATCGTTTCCTTCCAACAACTGCACAACATAAGGAATGCCTCCAACACTGAAGAAATGAAGTAACTCCTGACTCACAATTTAACGACACCTGACCAATCAAGAAGCTAGCCTCCCTTGACCACGCCTCCAGCTTCTGCCAGCCTCCAATCAACATCAAGATGCAGCAATCTTCCATCCAGCAAGTTGCAGTCAGCACCTGCAGAGTTCCTGCTGTCTTCTATGTCGTCTTCGTTATTGTTTATCCAGGCTTAGCAGTTGGGTCTAGTCCTGACTCTTCTCTCTTCGACTCAAGACATTCCTCTCACCGTCTATTCTTCGCACTTTCCCCACTTGCCCCTCGCCCCTCGCCCCTCGCCCCTCGTGGGTCCTTACCTGTGAGTCCTTGATTGATTGATTGATTGCCTTCTCTACTTCGCTCACGTCCACCACCTGGATCACTATGCGTTAAACACAAAGGACTCTCGTTCTTCACCACGACGCAATACCCCAGCCCCATGACTCGCCTAGAATCATCCAACATCTCCAAGACAACACTGCAAAGTACACCAGCCACGAAAAGCCATTCCCTACCATCAACCAGATATTCCAACAACTCCAAACCAACGAACTCTTCTACAGCTCTCCTATACCTGTGACACAACTCTCTAGAACAAAATTCAATGCACTGAAAAGCGGTTCAAGAGAATAACCAACTCATCCTGTTTGCTGCCTACTGACTCCCAGCTCCTACCGCTGCCTTCGCCATCCTCTCCTAGTGAGCCAAGTAACGACATCATTCAAGCCTCTCCATCTACGGTTCCAGTACTTCGGTACCACATGTCCCAAAGTGGTTGGGCCACTTGCCTTGATTCCTCCTCTTCCCCTCCTTCCCATCCTTCCTCATCCTTCTTCCATCCCATCTCACGACAGCTCTCGTCGTCTTCTTCGATTCGATTCGACCATCGCAACCAGCCATACTTATATATATATATATATATATATATATATATATATATATATATATATATATATATATATATATATATATATATATATATATATATATATATATAAGAAGATACTACCTCTAGAACTTTACTGGGACCCTTATACTGAGAGAAGACAATAAATGTACCTCAGGGTTAGTTTAGTTTAATTTGTTTATTATGCACCACATACCCATCCTGTGGGAGGTAGTCAAAAGATTACAGAGGTACATAAAGGGTCCAGGAACTGGGCGGAAAACTCAAGGTTCTCCCCGGAGATGTTTGAATATTTTCTTCTCCTACAGGAAAAGAAACACTTTCACCATCATTCACATTATCACTGTCTTGCCAAAGGCCCGCAGATGCAACAGTAAATATGAAACAGTAAATATTCCAAACCCCTCCTTTAGAGTGCAGTATGTATGTATATTTTGCATTTATGCTTATTATTCTCATATTTATTCAACAAGATCATACTGCATCCATTTCAATGTCATTTTTTCTTGGTTATGTTTCAGCCATCATAGTGCTGCTTCAGGTGTCACTGTATTCTCTAGACTCAATAACCTTTTACAGAGTTGTTTGTTTATATGTTTGTAATTACAGAGGTAGAATGCTTCTAACTTCTCACAGGAACTTGGTATAGAATTCCCACATTGTGAGAAAAAAGTCATAATCTGACAAAAACATTTATTTGTCTCACATCTTTAAATTTAATAGGAAAATAATAATAAACCTCGAGTGCAGGGCCAAGATAAACCTTCAGTGCAGTGCTAAGATAAACCTTCAGTGCAGTGGTGAGATAAACCTTCAGTGCAGTGCTAAGAAAAACCTTCAGTGCAGTGCTAAGATAAACCTTCAGTGCAGTGGTGAGATAAACCTTCAGTGCAGTGCTAAGAAAAACCTTCAGTGCAGTGCTAAGATAAACCTTCAGTGCAGTGCTAAGATAAACCTTCAGTACAGTGCTAAGAAAAACCTTCAGTGCAGTGCTAAGATAAACCTTCAGTGCAGTGCTAAGATAAACCTTCAGTGCAGTGCTAAGATAAACCTTCAGTGCAGTGGTGAGATAAACCTTGAGTGCAGTGCTAAGATGAACCTTCATTTCAGTGCTAAGATAAACCTTAAGTGCAGTGGTAAGATAAACCTTGAGTGCAGTGCTAAGATAAACCGACTGTCAGTTAATAATTTAAAACTTTAGGATTGCTTAACAGTTGAACCAAATATATTACCCTAAATAATGTCGAAAAGAATTTCTAGAATGTATCGTCAGATCAGATCAGATATGACTCACAGGTAAGGACCCACGAGGGGCGAGGGGCGAGGGGCGAGGGGCGAGGGGCGAGGGGCGAGTGGGGACAGTGCGAAGAATAGATGGTGAGAGGAATGTCTTGAGTTGAAGAGAGAAGAGTCAGGACTAGACCCAACTGCTAAGCAATGTATCGTCTTATTGCGTAACACATGATCTACATGTTGTAAATTTGTACATATATGTGTGTGAGTGTGTGTGTGTGTGTGTGTATGTGTGTGTGTATGTGTGTGTGTGTGTGTGTGTGTGTATGTGTGTATGAGTGTGTTAATCAGGGTAAAGTGAACCTGTCATCACGATAAGCTGGTTATTTATCTTAAGAAATTTAAAACAAGAAAATAATGGTTGACTGGAGGCAGAGTAATAACAATACTACGGTGTCTGCTGTACCTTAACTTACTGACAAACATGAAATATAATATAAGAAACATGTTAAGGCAGGGGAGTGAACATGCAGCGCTTTTAAGACATAGTTTGCAATTCTGGCTTATAAACCAAAGCAGATTACAAATCCGTTGCTGCGATAACACTGCGGAAATCAGCTTGAAGCTCACGAAATTATATACAGTATTTCACTTATGTTAAATTATAGTACCTATATTTAAGCTGAAATAAGTTTGGCAGGATTAAGGTAAATTACTCTATATTATGTTAATTTTAGCATGGATAGTTGAAGTAAAGTTAATTTTGGGGGTAAAACTAAATGTTTATATATATACTATACTAATTCATTATCTTTATTTAGGAATAAGACCAAAATTTCGAAAAAAAATTAGGGCAGCTCTGTTTGACCGACTCTGCCTCAAACAACAACATTTATACACATTAGGAGAGTTATATATGTTAGGATAGGAGATGATGAATATGCTAGAAGAGGGAAGTTTATATAATAGTTTAAGAGCATGTGTAGACCACGTTAGGGTACTCTACACGTTATGGTAACGTGTGTACACGCTAGGGCAATGTACACGTTATGGTAGGGTGTGTACACGTCTTGGTAGGAAGGTTCACATGCCTGCTGCTCCAGTGCTGGTCAGAGGAACTACAGCAGTCATCTTGACACCTGAAGCATCTGCCTCCACCACCAGCCTCTCTTCCGTCTTCTTCTGTGACGTAGAAAGTTCAGTATTACAAATTATGCTAAAAAATGGACTATTGCATTGATTTAATTTATTAAGTTTGAAGCCTCTCCATTACACGATGGCAATTAAGGCTGCATAGTACCTGTACACCACCTGACAATGATACTTTATTCTCTAGATTTTTTTTTTTTGACGCACTGGCTGTCTCCCATTGAGGCAAGGTGACCCATAAAAGAAACACTTTCATCATCATTCACATTATCACTGTCTTGCCAGAGGATCGCAAATACGACAAATCAGATGTCCCTCTAAACAGCAAATATCCCAAACCTCTCCTTTAAAGTGCAGGCACTGTACTTCCAGCCTCCAAGACTCAAGTCCGGCTAACCGGTTTCCCTGTTACTAACACAAAAACTAAAAAAAAAAAATCCAAGTGTATGTTGCTTCTGTTACACAGAACTAGAGATATAAGCATCAGAATAAATACAAAGTTTAAACTTGCAAAATTAAATAGTTTACACAAAGTCCTACTCAGTTTAACAGCAGATAAACTCAGGACTGTCACAGTTATCCTGATGACATCCTAGATAACACTAAAACTCTTGGTAAATGCATAAGGTGTCCAGTGGCTTGGTAGGTAATGTTCTCGCTTCACACACTTAATATCTTTGGTTCGATCACCGGCAAGGGTTGAAACTTTAGAATGTGTTTCCTTGAGACACCTACTGTCCATGTTCACCTATTGATAAAATAGGTACCTGGGTGTTAGTGGACTGGTGTGGGTCGCATCCTGGGAACAAAATTGACCTAATTTGCGCGAAATGCTCAGCATAAGAAGCGACTTTCTATATAGTAGTATGTCATTGATGTCAGCTAGGTCTGTATACCTTGTACATGTACTTGTAGTAAATAAAGATTATTATTATATATCACAGTCTGATCATAAAAAATATCGTTGTTAATACATTCAAAAGATGTGGCAACATGCAGGTGAAGTTCCCGATTCAAAGAAATGAATCTGAGTTTAACTGGTTCGGATGAAATCTAATTTCCTCTCAGGTGCTGAGGAATAAGTCATGCGCAACAACTGCCGTCTTGAATAACGAAACGTTCGCCTGACAAGTGAAGATAAAATTTCGTTCGGATTTTTAACCCCGGAGGGTTAGCCACCCAGGATAACCCAAGAAAGTCAGTGCGTCATCGAGGACTATCTAACTTATTTCCATTGGGGTCCTTAATCTTGTTCTCCAGGATGCGACCCACACCAGTCGACAGTCGACTAACACCCGGGTACCTATTTGCTGCTAGGTGAACAGGACAATAGGTGTAAGGAAACGTGTCGAAACGTTTCCACCCGCCGGGAATCGAACCCGGGCCCTCCGTGTGTGAAGCGGGAGCTGTAGTCACCAGACCACCGGGCCACCAGGGTTTCGTTAATAAAGATGTCGAAGTGTTTCACACGTGTCTTACTTATCAACTTATCTTACTTGACATTCTTAAAATGATAAGTCTGTGTAGTATATCATATGGATTTAGTGTTGCTTCAATAATAATAATAATAATAATAATAATAATAATAATAATAATAATATTATTATTATTATTATTATTATTATTATTATTATTATTATTATTATTATTATTATTATTATTATTATTTTAATAGATGAAAATAAAAATATCTTGATATTCCAGGAACAAATTAAGTGGAGATAAGGTGAGCTTAATCACTGTATCGTGAATCATCTTACCGGGAAAAAGTAATGACGGAGTCTGCCAGTTGTTGTAGCACCAAGGTGTGTGGAGTGTCCCTCCATCATGGTAGTGATGGAGTACCCGCCCGGGTTATCCCAGGAGATGTGACCACCACGAGCACCCACCGCCTTTATCTCAGGAGCTGTAAGGTATAAAAGTTGAGTAACCCAAAGTATTATGAGTTTAAAATGTATATTCATTTTAGATACAGCTCACATTTTTTGAAGGTTTTAATGCTCTCTATCACTCTGCATACTGTTGTTTGCCTGATATAGTTAATTAAGGTAATTTCATAGAAACTGTAATCGTTTCCTCTCTAAAACTAGACCATGACTTTCGTTTCTTTGTAAATATACCGTAATTTTATCCTTGAGTTACAAAGATATATTATATTCCCTTATATTTGCTCTCACATAAACCAAATCCTATCATGTCGACTCATGAAACTCAAACTTCTATTTCAGTATGACCAGCTTCCAGTCCCATTGTACGCAGTAGTATTCCCACATTATGTCTATAAATACATAGTAACTTACAACACATTTGCGGCTTTTTCTAGGGGAGGTTTTATATCTTATTTCAAATAAAAACATGTACGCAGTTATAAATATACCAATGTATTCTTAGATGTTTATACATTTCCCATGAAATAACATAAGCGTGTATTATACATTATAAAGGGAACTGCACAGATTTAGTGCCTCATGTAGAACATGAGGGAGGGAAGGGGAAGTGGTGGAGATTTCTGTAGAGTGTAGGCAAAATGGAAGAAACTTCTTTATATATATATATATATATTTTAGATTGCAACAGCACCTAAGTTATTAATCTGGGGTTGTAATGTGTGTTCATTATTCATGAACTCGGGGTAGTGATAGGTGTTGTTTACTCATGAATGTAGAGTAGTGATGTGTGTTTGGTGTTTATAAACGTGAGGTTGTAATGGGTATTGCGTTATATGAATTAGGGATTAATATTGGTTGCTCATTATTCATGAAAATGAGGTGCTCCAAGTACTTAGTCCTTCCTCTTATCCACTGGGATTTTAAGGCTACAATCTTACTATATATATATATATATATATATATATATATATATATATATATATATATATATATATATATATATATATATATATATATATATATATATATAAATTATATATATATATATATATATATATATATATATATATATATATATATATATATATATATATATATATATATATATATATATATATATATACTACCAAACATCCTATATTCTCTTACGTAATTAGGGATGCAACCACACAGGGAGATGCATGTCTATGCATGGTATGTGAAGAACAAATGAACACTGAATATTCTTGGTGCTCTAAGGAAAAACATAAATTAATGCATACTTACAAATCAGGAAGAGCTCCGCCTCTCCGCTCGTAAGCACGGTGTGGCTATTAACGTCTCTGTTAAGTACAACCACATTCACCTTGCCTTCAGACAAACTGAATGTACTTGTTTCTATAAGTATGTTTTCAAAGCACAGAATGCCCTGCATTGTCTGTGTCGTCCGTCGGCTCTTCAGTATTTTTCCTTGACTGTTGATCATTATGAGCTCGAGGTAACTGGAAACATCGCTTGCAGTGGCATCCTCCTGATCGAAACATACGCTAGTATCAGCAGAGTTCAGTTCACTATTCCATTTAAGAGTAAGCTGCCGTACAGAGAAACCTGTTGGGGTGAAAAGTCATTAAGTTTTCTATTACTCGCCATTTCCAGATAGGAATTTCCTACACAATTCTGTGTATGTCCTAATTAAGGACACGTGCATGCACACTGGCCTGTACGAGTTTCAAATTGAAGTGATAGAGTAACAATTCAAAAAAATATTCGCAATAACTGCTTGCGTTTCATTTTATTTCTACCATAAATTAAAAGCATATGATATTATGTAGAATATTTGTTTGAGTAAAGAGTGTGTATAAATCTATAAAACAAACGAATTAACTTGACCTATATGCATGTTTTTTTTTCAGCGTCTTCATTTTTAAGTGTGTGTACATATACACAAATAACCCGCACATAGAAGAGAGGAGCCTACAACAGCGTTTCGGTCCGACTTGGTCCAAGTCGGACCGAAATGTCGTCGTAAGCTCCTCTCTTCTATGTGCGGGTTATTTGTGTATCGTTCCAGTCACGGTATTGTGCCTTTTTTGTTATTTGTGTGTACATATCTTATAATACATTTGATAATTTAATTTAATTCGTGTTTATGGAATCAAGATATTCTAGATGTTAGTATATAGGTGAATTGCAACCTTAATGGCCGACGTGCTTTAAACTTGAACAACTAAATAATTAAGTGTGGAAAATTTTGATAAGTTTCCTGTGATTTGTATGTAATAATTGGTAGAGATGATACTCTTTATATACAACATTGCAGGTGTAATATTGGCGTGATTTTTGAAGTAAGAAGTTGATTAAGTAAAGTGTAATTATTGTAATTTACAAATTAATATTCTGATAAAGAAAATATTTTACACACCTTAAAATATCACTAAATTTAAATATATATGTACAAGATGAACGTTAGGGAAAAGCATCGAATATGGCATAACGTGAGATGCGGATCGGGAGTTTACGAATTTTAATTATGTGTAATCGAAGCCGTTATCAATAATAGCGATATAATTCTTTTACTACAAGATAAGTGAAGAAGAAATACATCTGGAAGTGTCCAGATATCTGATAAAATTGTCAGAATAATGATATGATGGAAAACAGGAGGCGGTAGCTGAATGTAACACCATATTGCCTGCCCCATGTATTATTAAATAATTAATGTATGTCTCCCAGTGTACAATAAACTGCATACAACAGGTAAGGAAGCTACTTATTGGCCAATATTAGGTTGCCTTCCTGTCAGGCGTTAGGATGTATCACCCGTGGAATAAATGGGTGTCTTTTTTCTAATTAAGTGTTTAATGTGTAATTAGTAGTTTAAACAAATTACTCATGCCAAATCTTTCAATAATTTTCAATATATAGTCCACATAAATTTGCAAGTGGTACTGGCTTAAATTTTCATAAAAAATATACAGGAACCATATGTTGCTAATCTAGAGTCCCGAAGTGAGTTGGGGAGTTGAGACGGTGGGCAGTGAAGGAGGGACATTGTCTGCGAGCCCAGTGTTCCTGAAGTCCCCCCATGTCTCCAAGATACAGCATTATCAGTAAGTACAATCTGTTTTAGGTGTGTCAAGAGTTCTAACCAGTTATGTGTGTGGAAGATTAGTTGAAGATTGTGCTTGTGAAAATTCCCGTACATTATTTCTCACACAAAGTAAATATTTGGATTTTACTAACCTGTAGTCATAGGCATTGTAGAGACCGCTTGGTGAGTGATTTTAAAGGATTCGTCATTTTGTGAAACAGAACAAGTGTACTCTGTGTCTGGTATAAGCTCTACAAAGTACCCGAAGCATGAACCGAGGCCTGTACAGTTAACATGTGCAGTTTTAAATGATGTATCTGTTTCATCAGTGCTTGTTCTTTCAATTTTGAATAAATTGGCATTTTCTTTGTTTTCCCAAACCATTTCCAACGTATAGCTTGTTAAAGCCATCACTCGTAAATTATAGTCTGGAAGAAATTTATAAAAAAACATTTAATTATACATAATAAGGACGAACATTATGTGGGTAATTATCAAACATTGTTGTAGTTGTTTGTAAGCTAATGATCTAAGTAAAAAAAATGGATTACCATTATAATATAGTGATTGGGGAATGGGAGAAAATTAAATTCGTTTCAAGAAAGGACAGGATAAGTCCCCTTCCGTGAATGAAAAGCCTTTCAGCAGCATCCATGCACCTCCCTTGTTGAGATGAAAGTGTTTTAAACACTCCGGCAGTTTCCCACCGAGGTAGGGTGACCAGAAAGAGGAAAACACTTTCACCGTCATTCATTCAATCAATGTCTTGCCAGAAAGGCGCAAACTTCACAGTTCAGATGACCCCTCAAACCACAACATCCCCACCCCTCCTTCAGAGTGCAGGCACTGTACTTACCACCTTCAGATCCCAAGTTCATCTAACCGATTTCCCTGAATCCTTTCATAAATGTTACTTTGCTCACACTCCAACAGCACGTCAGATCATAAAAGTCACTAACCTCAACTCCTAGCTAACACTCACACAAGCCTGTTAGATGTTCAAGCCCCTAGCACTGAAAACCTTCTTTACCCTCTCCAACCTTTCCTAGGTCGACCGCTGTCATTCCATCCCTTTACCTCATTAATACGCATTCCAAGTCATCCTTGGTTACTGTCTCCTCTCTATATGTTCAAACCACTTTAACAATCCCTCCTCAGCTCTCTGGATAATACTTTAGGTAATTCCACACCTCCTACTCCTCAGACTCTGAATTCTCTGCATAATATTCCCACCACAAATTGCCCTCAAGCATGACATCTCTACTGCCTCCTGACTCCTCATTGCTGTAATGTTTAAACCCCATGCTTCATAACCATATAACATTGTTGGTACCACTATGCTCTGATACATTCCCCTTTTTGACTCCATGGATAAAGTTCCTCTCCACAGATGCCTCAATGCGCTCCAGGGTTGGGCAAACTTTTCAGTGCAGGAGCCACATTCAGAAATTCACAATTTAAACGGCCGCATAGTATATTAAGTAAAATAATCAATATTTAAAATAGCAAAAATAAAAGGTTATAAAAAATTATTTTTATAAAGTAGAAACTTCATATGAAATACAGTTATTTGAAAACAAAGTAACTCAGTAAGTAACAGAACACTGTCAATGAGAATGATGAATCTGACTGCAGTCATTTACCAGTTTGTTAAAATTAGGTGTCAAGTTGCTAGTGCTGATCCGTTAACACTGACTGAAAGAAGATAACCTGAGCTTGTTACCACCTGCAGCTCATAAGACTGCCATCCCCACGAGCCCCTTTGGGGCGGGGCAGATGGCAGACCAGAGGCCTAGCTTCTCCCTACGAGCCCCGTGAGGGCGGGAACTGTGGCTGGGCCTGGGGACACTTGGTCCCAAAGATGAGGGGGGTGCTTGTACCTCCTCCCATGGGAGACTTAGGTTTCGAGATACTCCCCAGATAAGGAGCCAAGGCCGGGTCACCACTCTTGGAAAAGACCCGGGCCGGGAGAGTACCGGTGAATAAAGAAAAAAAAACTGACTGAAGAACAGATATGTCCCACAACTATTTAATTTCGAATTTTAAAGGTTTATAGTCTATAAAATTTGTAGCCCAATCTGGCAACAATGATAATCATTTGTGCTTACAACAAAGTTGCCAGAGTAGCCATTTGCGGGTAACATGTTAATGTCCCACAATATTATTTGGCGTTGCGTGGTAACTTTTTTTTCAATTTACTAACATTTTGCCCCTAAATAACGTGAGTATATGACTTGATCCTGGCGGGTCGCTTGAAAACCTTTGGCGGTCCGCATGCAGCCCGCCGGCCGTAGTTTGCACACCTCTAGGCTACCCATTCTTCCCCTCGGTTAGTATCGTCCTCACCTCACACACAAGAGGGTTTGGAATTGATCCCCCAGAAGGATAGAAACATTGGGCGTGTTTCCTCACACATTCTATCCCTGTCCACCTAGCAGTAAGTAGGTACATGGGTGTTAATCGACTGCTATGTGTCGCATCCTTGGGGACATGATTAACTTAGCCTATTCTTCATAACTAGAGTCCATCTATGAAGAATGCCAATTCTGTAAAATTAAATCTATATTTACTGTATCATTATTATTATCATTATAAATCCTATGGTTCACCTCAACTTTCAAAGAACCAACCGCCAAAATCACTACCAAATATCTGAATGCATTTACTTCCATATTTGCTGCCTCAAATTTGATAACCAAACTTTATTGGGTAAACTGTTTTAATACAATCATCACCTTGCTCTTTAAAATGTTCTCTTTTAATTTCCTTCTTTTAAATATCCACCCAAATTCTCTTACCAACCTCTGCAACTTTTCTTCAGAATCTTAAAAAAACACCGTGTCATAGTTTAAAAGTAATCGTGTCAACTTCTATTTTGGATTAGATTCATAATAGTTTAATCCCAGACTACTCTCTAACACCCTAGCGTTCACTTTTCTTAAACACACACACACACACACTGGAGGAACTGGAGGACAGGAAAGATAGGGGGGATATGATAAAGACATATAAAACACTAAGAGGACTTGACAAGGTGGACAGACAGGATGTTCCAGAGATGGGACACAGCAACAAGGAGTCACAGATGAACCACAGGGATGTTAGGAAATATTTCTTCAGTAACAGAGTAGTCAGGAAGTAGAATAGTGGGGCCAGGAGCTGTGAATCGATCCCTGCAACCACAACTAGGTGACTACACACACACACACACACACTCATGCATACATACATACATATATATATTATATATATATATATATATATATATATATATATATATATATATATATATATATATATATATATATATATATATATATATGTCGTGCCGAATATGTAAAACTGGTCAATTAGCAAGAACTCATTTAAAATTAAGTCCTTTCTAAAATTTTCTCTTATACGTTTAAAGATATATTTTTTTCATTAATGTTGATGTAAAAATTTATAATTTTGCATCAAAAGGAACTTATAAAACTTACCTAACCTTATTATAACAAGAACAATTTATTTTAGCCTAACCCAACAAAATATATTTTAGATTTGTTTACAATAATTTAATACTAAACAAACACAGTTAAATATATTTTATTCGTTAGGTTCAGAATGATTTTGGCGAAATTATTGCATACACAAATTTTCACTTGTCCTATATGGCAAGATGAGCGTTGCTATTTAAGCCAAGATCGCAAGTTCTGCCTATTCGGCACGACATACATACATACATACATACATATATATATATATATATATATATATATATATATATATATATATATATATAGGTATGTATATATATATACATTTATTTATTTATTATCACACTGGCCGATTCCCACCATGGCAGGGTGGCCCGAAAAAGAAAAACTTTCCCCATCATTCACTCCAACACTGTCTTGCCAGAAGGGTGCTTTACACTACAGTTTTTAAACTGCAACATTAACATCCCTCCTTCAGAGTGCAGGCTCTGTACTTCCCATCTCCAGGACACAAGTCCGGCCTGCCGGTTTCCCTGAACCCCTTCATAAATGTTACTTTGCTCACACTCCAACAGCACGTCAAGTATTAAAAACCATTTGTCTCCATTCACTCCTATCAAACACGCTCACGCATGCCTGCTGGAAGTCCAAGCCCATCGCACACAAAACCTCCTTTACCCCCTCCCTTCAACCTTTCCTAGGCCGACCCCTACCCCGCCTTCCTTCCACTACAGACTGATACACTCTTGAAGTCATTCTGTTTCGCTCCAATCTCTCTACATGTCCGAACCACCTCAACAACCCTTCCTCAGCCCTCTGGACAACAGTTTTGGTAATCTCGCACCTCCCCCTAACTTCCAAACTACGAATTCTCTGCATTATATTCACACCACACATTGCCCTCAGACATGACATCTCCACTGCCTCCAGCCTTCTCCTCGCTGCAACATTCATCACCCATGCTTCACACCCATATAAGAGTGTTGGTAAAACTATACTCTCATACATTCCCCTCTTTCCATCCATGGACAAAGTTCTTTGTCTCTCTCTCTCTCTCTCTCTCTCTCTATATATATATATATATATATATATATATATATATATATATATATATATATATATATATATATATGTCGTGCCGAATATGTAAAACTGGTCAATTAGCAAGACAAAGTTCTTTGTTTCCACAGACTCCTAAGTGCACAACTCACCCTTTTCCCCTCATCAATTCTATGATTCACCTCATCCTTCATAGACCCATCCGCTGACACGTCCACGCCCAAATATCTGAATATATTCACCTCGTCCATACTCTCTCCCTCCAATCTGATATCCAATCTTTCATCACCTAATCATTTTGTTATCCTCATAACCTTACTCTTTCCTGTATTCACTTTTAATTTTCTTCTTTTGCACACCCTACCAAATTCATCCACCAATCTCTGCAACTTCTCTTCAGAATCTCCCAAGAGCACAGTGTCATCAGCAAAGAGCAACTGTGACAACTCCCACTTTATGTGTGATTCTTTATCTTTTAACTCCACGCCTCTTGCCAAGACCCTCGCATTTACTTCTCTTACAACCCCATCTATAAATATATTAAACAACCACGGTGACATCACACATCCTTGTCTAAGGCCTACTTTTACTGGGAAATAATTTCCCTCTTTCCTACATACTCTAACTTGAGCCTCACTATCCTCGTAAAAACTCTTCACTGCTTTCAATAACCTACCTCCTACACCATACACTTGCAACATCTGCCACATTGCCCCCCTATCCACCCTGTCATACATACACACACACACACACACACACACACACACACATATATATATATATGTATATATATATATATATATATATATATATATATATATATATATATATATTATATATATATATATATATATATATATATATATATATATATATATATATATATATATATA